GGAACCACTGAGCTAAATCCCCAGCCCCTCCTTACTCTTTTAATAAAGATGTGTAGCCTCAAAATATGCAAATACAATTCTTTAGCATTAGCCCTTGAGTAATGTAACAAAAATGTAGATACTTGAGGGTTTAGCATTTGATAGATTTTTTAAAGCATTTATAGTTTGCACATGAGCTGTTTGGAAGACTAAAAAGAGACTTTTTGATGTTTTCTGGATGTTTTTTAATCTTTATGTATTATGTTATATAGGAAGGGAAAAGTTTACTTAGTACAATGCACATATAGCAGAGTCCCAACTTTGCATAATATTGTCCTTCTTTATTCTAAGTTCTTTTCTTCTGTCTTTCACTCTCTTCAAAAGATTCTTAAAGTCCACATCCTTCATAGAAATATTTTCAGATTGGTAAACTCTGTTAACAGAAGGCTGAAGGCAGGATTCAGCAACCTGTGAAGGAATTCATAGTCCCAGTTTAGGACTGTAGACTTAGATACTTTGGAAACAGAGATATTTTGAGGTGTGGCTAATTTTTTTTCCCAATTCTCTCATTCATTCCGTTACTCACTTATTTTTCCTCTATGACTTTGACTGAGCCATAACACCTGGACCTTATTTTTTTGAGTTGATACTGTCATGCTCTATGATTTCTAAGGTTTTTCCTAGTCTAATATTATATGAAGATAAATTTGTAGTATAAAGTAATTTTAGTCTCTAAGGTAGTATATATAGGTTCAAAAGAAAGTGTTGATGTAGTGATCAAGGTACTTGGGTGGTACTGGGGCAATTGATATGTTCTCCAAAATAATTAGGATTCAAGTTAATGAAGGCACAACTCAGTAGTCAGTTGTAATTAATGCTGTTTTAATTTTTTTCATGAGGCTGTTTTGAGAAAATGACAAACATTGTTTGAGAAGTCCTTTTTCTTTCAAATACTAGATAAGCTACTGAGGACTCAGAAACTTTTTATTTGTTCTTTATCCTTACTAGAAAAGTGTGAAAAAACTAAGATGGTACATGTGTGTCATGTGCTTGGTACATTTTAGGCTCCCAAGTTTAAAAATCGTTACGTTAGTTTTTTAACAGTAAAGTTCTGAGACAGTATGGCAGAGTGGTAGAGGATTTGGTGTCAGGCCAACTTATTTACTAGCTTTAATACTTTGGACAGCTTCTTTAATCTCTTTGAGCCTTAGCTTATCTATAAAATGAATGAAATAGCATTTAAAAGGTGCCCGGTTTAGTAATTGTTGGCAAGTGGATGACTTATCAGATGTAAAGTACTGCAAGCGATTCTGGACAGAAAAATATATAGTAGTAAAGGTTACCTGTTTTTATAAGATGATCAAAGAGAAAGCAAGAACTTGTTATTATAGACAAAAAGGTAGAGAATTCACTAAGGAATGGATGCCTACAGTGTTATTCCTACCATAGAAAGGTAGTGCTTAGATAATGAAGTATGACTACAAAAGAAAAATGTGAAAAATATTACTAATAATTGAGACATGCTTAGAAGTCAGGAAATAGTCAAGCCATGGCCATCTTAATCATTTTAGCCTTCTTCTCTTGCCAGATAGGGAATTCCAGATTATGTGTTAACTCCTTTAGTGTGAAAATGTGTGCATAATACGTGCATGTGCACTTCTTAAAATATTTTAAGACTATCATATAACAGTTACTTTTTCCTTTTTCTGAGGGAAATTTAAAATGTGTTGCATTACTTTCAGTTCTGAATACCTGAATCATCACTAATCACGTTATAGGGACAGAAATCTAGATGAGTTTTAAAATGTAATTATCTGTGGCTTTTGAAAAGCTAGATGTTCATGTTTGGCTGTATGATGCATGGATTTTTTTTCCCCAGTAGTTACTTCCACCTCACTTGTATGTAGTGGTGTGAAGAATGTGAGATTTGACCTTTAGCTTTTACTATAAAATGTTTTTCTCCCTTAGCCCATCTCAAACATCACGGACTTACTTATGCTTTACTGTCTTATCAATATCAAAAACATACCTCATGAGGGTATATTATACTATTTTATTTCATTTTAGAATTAATAATGTTATATAATAGTACAACAATATCACTATCCCTAGAAAGTTGTTAATGGATAAAATGTGCAATGATGATACAGTGTGTATCTTTAAACCTTTGAAATTAATTTTCCCATCATGTGATAGACTCAATTGTTAATTCCTACTTTAAAAATGATGGGAAAGAAAGTAATGGATATTTGGGTACACTAAGAATTATTGCTTAAGGTATATATCAAATGTTATATCGTATTACTGGGAAATAATTTTAAATATTAATAGATGAAATTTCAAGACTCACTGTTTAGATTTGTATAAAATTCATATAATTTAGATAAGTGATTAGTATTTTATTTGCCACTTATAAAATAGCCCTAATATTTATTTATTATCTCACAGCTGCATTTATAAGGTAAATGGTTGTTTTCTTTTCCTCTGCTTTTGAATTTACAGCAAAAGATGATGGAAGCATTGCTGTTGCCCTTGGTTACACTGCACATTTGGTCTCCATGATTTCCTTTTTCCTACAAGTGCCCCTCAGATATCCTATAATTCATAAGGGGTCTAGATCAACAATCAAAGATAATATCAATGACAAGCTGACTGAAAAGGAAAGAGAGTAAGTGTCTTCTTTTTAAGTTTTTTTTTAACATCAAGCCAATATGAAATATGAATGAAACATCAGGTATATTAATAGTATAAAATGTTGACCTAAACTGTGGCAACTTTTATGTAGTTTTTGTAAAGTGTTCCATTTCTTCTAAATAAAATGTAATTATTCAATTAGATTTTAATGGTTGAACTCCAGTACTTTCAGTACAAAAATTGTGATATTAGCAAAATTGATTCATTTAAATTCGGTTACTTTCCTTTCAATTTTGCGAGGACAGATGTCATGTGCTCTGCAAATACTGATACAACACCTGTTACCCACCACTGAACAAGTGAAATGGTTAGAAGATTTGTGAGAAAACCAACCAGAAGAAGGATAAAAGATTTAGCACGAGATTGAACACAGATGAAACATAAATTAGTGAACTGGAAGACAGATCAGTTAAAAATATAGACCTCCCCTGACTTATGACTTGATTTACAATTTTTTGACTTTATAACAGTGTGAAAGTAATATGCCTTTAGTAGAAACCAGTTAGAATTTTGATGTGTTCCTAGGCTAACAATATGTAGCATGATATGCACTTGCACATTGTTGGGCAGCAGCAGTAATCCACAGCTGCCAGGCAGCCACATGCATAAAAAAGTAAACAACTGATACTCTACAGAGTACTGTGTTACTAAGCTGTGATGTTCTGTAAATTAGGTATATTGAACACATTTTCATCTCAGTGACATTTTAAACTTATGATGGTTTTATTAGGACATAACCCCATCGTAAGTCAAGGAACATCTGTATCTGGACCAAAGTACAAAGAACTAAAGACATGGAATGTAGGGAAAAGTGATAGAAATGAAAGACACAATAGAAATGTTCTCAAATATACATATAACTGCAGTCACAAAGCAGTTGGAGAGTAAGAGGTAAACATAATATTTAAAGAGATAATTACTCGGAATTTTTTTATTTAGTCAGAGGCCAAGCTACAAATTCAAAAAATAACAGAATAACTCCAAAGAAAACACTAAGGAAGATTCAAACAACTGAAGACCCAAGACAAAGTGAAAATATGAAAGCTAGCTAGAGAAAAATATGTTGTTATTGAAAGGCTTATAATAAAATCAGAGGCTCAATTCTGAATAGAAACAAAGGGAAGCTAGAAGTTGATGTGATATTTTTACATACTGAACTGTAAGAAAATAACTGCTTACTTGTAATTCTATACCCAGTGAAATTATCCTTCAAAAGTAAAAGCAAAATAAAGACATTTCAAACCATCAAAACCAAGAAAATTCAGCAGACCTACTCTAGAGAAAATATCAAAGATAGGATAAAAATAATCTCATACAGAACCGTAGATATGGAGGAAGGCACAAAGAGCAACAGAAGGGATAAATATGAGTATATCTAAATTAATTTCATAAAGCAAATAGCCATTGGGTTCTAAATGTAACATGCATATATAAATGTATGTAGAATTGTAATTAATGATCTAAGATAAAAGGTGGGAAAAGGCAAATGGAATTGAAGCACTGTAAGATCTTTGTCTGGAAAGTGATAAAAATACTAATTTATATTACACTCTAATGAATCAAGGATGTATATTTTAAAGCAACAATCAGTAAAAGAATTGCTTTGTATGACCAAAATTTAATAGAAGAGATAAATGGGAAAAAGTACTTGACTCATCCAAAAGAAGGCAAGAAAAAAAGTGAACTCTAAATAAGTGGTATAAACAGAAAACAAATAGTAAGTTTGTACGTGTGAACCCAAACTTACCCTATAATTACATTAACTATAAGTGGTATTAATGTTCTGAAAAACAAAGTTTGTCTTAAGGTAAACTCATTCTGCTTCTAAGAGACACCTTACATATAAGAATACAGAAATATTGAAAGCAAAGGTGTATAAAGATATATTATGCAAATATTATCCAATGAAAACTAATGTAACTATACACAGAACTATACATGTGCATAACTTCTAACATATAGACAAAAATTCACAGAACTTTAAGAAAACCTAACAGTGGACTTTCAATTTTCTTATGAACAACTTTATGCTGATATATTTAAAATTTAAATCAAATGCCTAAAATTTTAGAAAAATGCTATTTTCCAAGATGGTTACATGAATAATTAGAATTTAGAAAACTTCACACTAGGGTAAAGGAAGGGGCTATAGAATAATCTAGGTGAGTTATTCTCAACCCTGACTGCATGCTAGAGTCATCTGGAGAGCTTTTATAATGAACTCCTCATCCCCAGATTCCTGACCTTTCCTCCAGAGATTCTGCTTTAGTTGATAGGCCCCAGCCAGGCATTAAGCATTTTAAAAAAATCTTATGAAGTGATTCTGAAATGTAGTCAGGGTTGAGAACTACCGTTATAGATTGAAAAAATATTGTGTTCGTGGCATAAAGAAATGGAAAATCCAACTTAATCTCTCTTAAAAATATAATACAGTATTTTGGGCCACATTCTCCTCTGAGCTCCCTACCTGTAACAGGGACCTGGAGGCTGGGCCTGCAAATGCCCGATGGGTGACTAAAAACAGGACAAAGCTTACTCTCTCTGGTCAGCTCTGCACAGAGGCGTTAGTCACTTAAGGAATGTCCGTAACGTACAGGTTATTAGGCCTCAGTTTACCCAGCCTGTCTTGTTCTCCTTCAAGACTAAGGACACCAAAAAAAACAAAAAAGAAATGAAAAATCCTCAAGCATATTGAGTATAACCAACATCTCTGTCTCCTAAAACATTTTCATCACCCCAAAGGAAAATCCAGTACCCATTCAGCAATTACTACCTAAGTCCCACCTTACCTCATCCCCTGGCAACCACTTACCGGCTTTCAGTTACTATGGGTTTGTGAATTCTGGATATTTTATATGAATGGAGTCACATAATATGTGACCTTTTTTTCCTCTGGCTTCTTTCAGTTAGCATAATGTTTGTGAGGTGTATGCATTGTTACAGCATAATGAAGACTTCATTTATTTTTATGATCAAATATTTTCCATTAAGTGTGTTTATACCACATATTGTTTATTCATTTATCTCTTGATGGACATTTGAGTTATTTCTACCCCATGGTTATTGTGAATAGTGTTGCTATGAATATTTACTTAGTTGTTTGAGTACTCATTCTCAATTCTTTGGGTATATACTTACTAGTGAAATTGATAAATCATTTGGTAATTCTATATTTAACTTTTTGAGGAACCAACAAACTATTTTCCATAGCAGCTGCACTGTTTTATATTCCCAGATGTGAAATAGTATCTCTTTGTAGTTTTGATTTGTATTTCTTTATTGAATAATGATGTTTTTGTCTTTTCATGTGCTTGCTGATCATTTGTATATCTTTGGAGAAATATCTGTTCATATCCTTTGCCCCTTTTTAAATTGGTTTATTGATCTTTTTTGTTGTTGTTGTTGTTCAGCTGTAATACTTCTTTATGCAGTCTGAAGAATAGACTTATCAAATATATGATTTGCAAATACTTCTCCCATTCTATGGGTTGATGTTACAATTTAAAGTAAAAAATTAAGGTCGATATTTTATGTGGCCTTGACATCTGGTGAAAATAGGAGGTTTCCAATTACCCTTCGTTTCAGTTCCCTGACAGCTAGGGAATCACTGGAAAATACCATACACATCTTCCAGCTGGAACCCAGCATTGTCTCTGTCGTTTGATACTATGAAGCCTGTTTGTTTAAACAGAACCTATAGCCTAGTCTGCTTTTGTTTCTATAAGAAAGTATTTCATACTGGGTAATTTATAAACAATAGAAATTTATTTCTCATCACTCTGAGGAAGGGAAGTCCAAGATCAAGGGGCCAGCAGGATCATTGTTCAGTGGGGGAGCTGCTATCTCTGCTTTCAAGATGATGTCCTGTTGCTTCATTCTACAGAGGGGAAGGATGCTGTTTCCTCAAGTAGGGAGAGGGACGGGAGGTGTGTAAAAGGACCAAACATCTTCCTCAAGACCTTTTATAATGACATTAATCCATTCATGAGGGCAGAGCCTTTCTGACTTAACCACCTCCCCAAAGGCCCAATCTCTTGACCCCGATACATTGGGGATTACCATAGTGTCCTGTTTACTCTTTTCCTAAGTACAGCCCTCATGCATGGCATATGGTGTCTTCTTTCTGAGGGCTGTGAGTACGTGTGACTAATAATCTGCCCTCAATCTCATCTGTCTGTCCAGTGTCAGTTGTTAAGTGTTTAACTATCCCTATAACCTTAGGGAAGAAATCTCTCCACTTTCAATGGGGTGAAGAGGAAGCATTTTCACAATCTTTATAGTATCCTTTGGTGCACAAAAGTTTTTTAATGAAATCCAATCTGCATTTTTTTATTGTTTCTTGTGGTTTTAGTGTCATACCTAAAATCCATCCTCATATCCAAGGTCATGATGATTTATTCCTATGTTTTCTTATAATAATTTTATAATTTCAGTTTTTGTTTTTAGGACATTGTTCTATTTTGAGTCGTTATATATAATGAAAAGACTGCTCCTTTCTCTTTGAAAGACCTTGGCACCTATATTGAAAATTAATTGGCCATGGATTCTTTCTAGACTCTCATTTCTGGTCCATTACCCCAGTACCATAAGTTTTAGAATTTAGAAGTATGTGTATTCCAACTTTGGTGTTCTTTTTCATATTGTTTTGGCTATTCAGGGTCCCTTGGAATTCTATATGAATTTGAGGATCAGCCTCTTTGTTTCTGCCTAAAAGACCCATAGATTACTTTGAGTAATAGTGCCTTCTTATTAGTAGTCTTTCAGTGGGTTGTTTTTTATTTATTTAGGTCTTCTTCAGTTTCTTTTAACACTGTTGTGTAGACTTCAGTGTACAAGTGTTGCACCTCCTTGGTTAAATTGATTCCTGTATATTTTATCATTTGAATTCTATTGTAAATTGAATTATTTTCCTAATTTCTTTCAGATTGTTTAGACTTTATGTTGAGATCATGTTGTCTATGAATAGAGATAGTT